AAAAGTGCCGCCCTGTGTATAAATGAATGTTCCACTTGAATAGATACATTGCCTGTTGGACCCACCCTTAAAAATACCAGGCCAGTAAAAAACCCACATTTATTTGGTTTTACAGTTCTTGATAATTAAAGCATCGGTGCGTGTGTACGTGGGTTTAAGGGTGTGGTGTCCCTTTGGGTTTTTGTATGTGTACATGTTAGGCAGCATGCATTTCCAAATTCAGTGAGGAATCATTCAACAGGTTTCCGAGTGTTCACCTCGCTTCATTATATGGATGCATGCGTCTAGGATTAATCTCCAGTTCAGTTTGTTAAAGTGATACAGAGAACAGAAAAATAGGCGAAAGAACTCAGAAGACTTTGACCGCTCAATGAACTTGTGCAAAACATCAGGCAAAAATGTATGAGCTCACATTTGGTCCAGCATCCCTTCAAAAATATGAGTTATTAACAACACAGACTTTTGATAAAAAAGCTGACTCATCTCACTGCTTTTCTCATACACACACATATCCTACGGTTGATGTGCTGTAATTCTCGGGAACACGTCCATAAAACAGAGCGGTAGGAATAATCTCATAGGCTTTGTAATGTCTTCAGAAAAAATCCCCTACATTTGAGATGTTTCAATTCTGTCTTTGTTGCTCACGTCATCAGTAACTTCATATAAATTGTATCTTTCATTTGTTTATAATGTTTAATGTGAAAGGATTTTTATTAGAAACTGTGGCTTCTAATTTATCGTCAGAACAAATGTCAGTGTGAACGTTATCATGTGGTCTGCAGAACTATAGATGAGTCATTTTTTCATATTTCACAATAAAGTTCATTAGGTTGGTCAAAAGCGTATTATATCGGAGTCTACTCTTAGACTGGTGTGCAGGAGTGAGTATGAAAGGCCGGTTGTGTTAAGTTAAACCCATGATAATATTTAGCTGCAGCCCTGTACCAGGAACATTCCCAAGTGCTCACACAGTTTAAAACACCCTGTACCCTGAGCTGATTGGAGATTCTGAAACTGGCCAGCTTTCTCTATTTCATATTCTTCAAATCTCTATTTCCCTTTTTCTATCATGTGATGTATTGCCTAACTTTACTTTCTTTCCAAGCTTTTCATGGCAACTTTTCAGCATGACATATCTTGCCGCCGCCTATTTCAAAAGAAACCTTCACTACCATCTAGTGGACAGATATGTGCCTCACTGACATACCGTATAGCACGTCCGCCTGCTTTCTCAGTCATTCTGTTTCCCTTCTGTATTCCAGCGCTTGGCTCACTGGCTATGAAGATCCAATGATTGACGTGATCAACCAGAGAATTGAAGATCTCACCGGACTGGAAATGGACACTGCAGAAGAGCTGCAGGTAAAGAGTTAGCTGAAGGACATTGAGCACAGTTTTTTTTCTTGAATTTCTATCCTCTATCCTTAACCTAACTGAATCCACAAAGTTCTTATATAGAGGTAACATATCATTTTAATATCAACCTTCCCATACTGTTTGTGTTTTAGTTAAATAGAATCCTCATTTGTAGCCGTGTGACTTAATTCATATGTTTGATTGTTCTTTAGGTTGCAAACTATGGCGTTGGAGGCCAATACGAACCACACTTTGACTTTGGAAGGGTAAGGAAACCTTTGTAATTAACACAAGTACATTTTCTATAGATGTACAGTAAGGTTTACATGTGACGTTGGCTTTCTCCACAGAAAGATGAGCCAGATGCCTTTAAGGAGCTAGGAACTGGCAACCGCATAGCAACATGGCTCTTCTATGTGAGTACATTCAATGGTTTTGAACTTTAGATTGAACTTCCACTAAGCTGTTTTAAATGTTTGACAGAAATACTGGTGTTTGAATCTTCTCTACGGAGCGGTCTCATACTTGCCAATGACATGTGAGAATGAAGCTCAACATAACTTTTCCTCTTTGGTTTTGCTCAGTGTGACAGCCTGGTATTATACATTTAGGTCGACCCCTAGCCTCTGATTGTGAGCTTAATCTTTTCTGTCACAAAAGTTACATCTGAGTTAAAACAGGACTTGCTATGCTGATTCAATGAGAATGATGTTACATTTACTGTAAAAATGATTAATGGGAGAAAACTGCATTGTATTGTATTTTCTTCAAACACTTCCACAAACTATTTTCCACTACTGTTTGTATTGTTTGATTTGAGAGACTGAACTAGTCCTCTCTCGGTCTCTGTTGTAGATGAGTGATGTAGCATCAGGTGGAGCCACAGTATTCCCAGATGTTGGTGCAGCAGTTTGGCCCAAAAAGGTAACCGCTAATGTTCCACTACTACTTTACACAAATATATAACTGACTCCGTAGCTGTATCTGAGTTAGTCATATTATAAAGCCAACAAATCCCCAGGTGTTTTGTTTGTTTTGCATTATAGTCAGGGGTGCACATAAGTGGTACGCAGGTACGCATGCGCGGCAACAATCTGAAATGCGTACCGTCACTTGTGTCACAAAGCGCATTTGCGTACCGACGTACTTGTGAAGCTTTTCCAGAAGGCGGTTAGATCACCGGACGACAGAGTCGGCTTCCGTGTGCACAGACAGGGCTGCTGTTAACGTCGGTCTGTACAGCAGCACTGCACTAAAACAGCTGATCACGTTCACACGCTCTGTGGTCACGAAGCTCTGCACTCCACTACCCCCCCCCCCGCTGACTTTCACAATACAGAGGGCTTCATGGGAACTTTGAGGGGAGCCATAAGTTGGAGTACCAAACACTGACTCCAGGTACTCATCTGAGTACCTCACTGAGAAAGTTGTGTGCACCCCTGATTATAGTACACCACTAATATATGAATTAATAACACAATAAAGTTGCACAAAATAGTGTGAAAGTTGTTTTTGCCTCCAAGTAAGGACACGTACCAATTAGTTAGCATCTTTTATATTCTTTTTCTATTACACACGACACAGTCTTCTAAGGGCTACCTTTACATGCAAAACAAAATCGTGTACTATATGAAATAGTTTATTTGTTAATTTCATTACTGTCATTGAATAAAAATGTTTAGTCCACATACACATTTGTAATTACTCCCTGTTAATAATTTCCCCTGTCAAAAATCTGTGGGAATGATTTCAGGAACCTGAGGCTACATTTTGACTTCCAGGCTATCCCTGAAGGGTTTGAAGCCCTGCTAACCTGTTGTTTGTGTGTAGGGCTCGGCAGTGTTCTGGTATAATCTGTTCCCCAGTGGGGAGGGAGACTACAGCACCCGACATGCAGCCTGTCCAGTGCTGGTGGGCAACAAGTGGGGTAAGCTCCTCTTTTTCCAATACCTTATAAAACCATCAGTAAGAAACAAGTACATATATCTTAAAGGTTAACAACTGTACTGTTTCCATCGACTGCACCCAGTGGGGTTAGAGTAACCTGCTAGAGAATGGTGTTATAGCTGAACTGGACCTGTTCAGGACTGAATAAGGAAAAATAGATAATGTCAATTGTTATTATCTTTTTATTTTGTCTTTAGTATCAAACAAATGGATCCATGAACGAGGCCAGGAATGGCGGCGACCTTGTTCCCTAAATGAAACTGACTGATGAAAAAGGAAAACCTCTTCACCTCCCTGGCCCTTTCTCTCCTTCCTTGTGAACAGCCCAGGAACAAAGAACACCGCTGCAGATCACAGATGATGCGAATGGATACACGGTGTTCAAATGTCTCAATCCCTCTCTACAAGCACTCCCTTTTTTCCCCAGCTGTTGTGCTCTGAGCCCAGAGATTGTTTGGGTTGATGTCTAGAGTAGACCCTTGCAAAGTATTAGTAACGCTGTGACAGATAACTTCAGATTGTTGGATGGTTTGGAGAAACACTTGCGCCATTTTTACTCCCATGTGTCTGTATTTGCACTCTGCATGAACTCTAGTTCTGTGGTGAGATTATCGTTCAGTAGTGGCTGCAGGGAGCAGCCTTTCCCTGGCAGTTTGAACCTTAAAAGTACAGATCACATTTTTAACAGGCCTGTCTGATTCATTTCATTACTTTATTCATTTACAGAGTTAATGAATAAAGTAATTTATTGTAAAACTACATGCACCATCTTTAAAACAGTTTTATATTTTTCTCAAACAGGCGTATTATTCAGAGGGATTGCAAAAGCATACCATAGTCTAACTTAAATATTCTCTTTTCTAGTTTTAAATGCAGTCTCCTCCTCCAATAACTTTAATTTCGAAATTACAGGTAGTGTTCTGCGGAACAAATGATATGACACACAGTACATAACAAAATGGTCACTCCAAAAAATATATAAATACAATTCAGGGTAATTTTGTAGGTTGAAAGAAACACTTTATTTCCTGTAAGTCATGTCACTTATCAGAACTGATTTAAATTGTATGGCTGCATCTATGTTGACATATCACATACCTTGTTGGTCTGCCTCAGAGCCTAGTTTTAGATATTTTTTGTAAGTCATTTACATCGTCACACCAAGAGATATTTTTAGATTTGGTGAACTTAACACCTGGACACAGACAAAGTAATGTAAATCTCAATGCTGCATGAATTTTGTATTTGATCATCCTGATTGTCCCGGTGTTGTGTAAGCAACAACCAATCATTGAATAATAAGAGCAACAATATTATGGAAAAAGAAAAGTGGGCTGGATACACCGCATTGTGCCATGACGGGTTCACATATCCAGTTTTTTTATGGAGTGAATGATTCTGGTAGATTTTTAACAGTGTCCATTGGTTTTCAGTTTGAGAATATATGAGTTTTCCAAGGAAGAAACATTTTATTTATATGTCTCAGCCAATTGTGTGTTGTTTTTTTGTCTCATAGGAAAGTCTGACATTGTTTTTTTTCTACAATAAAGACTGTATAATATTGAATTTAAATACATGAACTTTCCTGCTGCTGTTTGAATGGGTGGGGATTTTGGGGGAAGGTATGAAAGGCATCACGTGACTGTCCAGTACTAAAGATACTGTCGCTTGTGCATCTGCGGCAACCAGGGCCAGACGTCTGTCAGGTCGGGAGGACAAGGGCAAGAGTGTGTGAGAGAGAAAGCAGCAGCTCAGAGAGAAGAAAGTCAGGGAACTATTCTGTCCTCAGAATTACAGTTAATCCAGCTCCGGAGGAACAGCAAGTATGATGACGATGACTCAGATGGAGACCACGGTGCACTATGATAACGGCTACGACGAGTATCAATACATGAACCAGGAGGATGAGTGGGACAGGGACAATCTACTGGACCCTGCCTGGGAACAACAGCAGAGGAAAGTAAGTCAAAGAGAACAATCTGTTTAAAAAATAATACATGAATCCTATCTTTTATTAATGGAAAAGAGATAAAACTATTCAGGCTAATAAATTACTCAAAATCAACCACATTAAAAGAGTATTGAATTTCCAGCAGTTGATTTTCACATACTTTTCCAGTTATTTGGGTATACATTGTCGGACAACATAGTTTCAAAACCGCTCTGAGACTAATTTGCGGCAAGCAGACCTTGGTAAAGAAATGTACATCCGGCTAAGAGTTTCAAAATAAAATACCCGATGTTGAACCTAACATTTTCAGAAGCGTTTTTTTTTTAATTAAACGTAGCGCGAATAAAATAGATTATATGTTTGTCATACCATAGAGGCAAAGTTATTGTAGCATTTATCTTCTATCTTGTCCTAGTTGTGTGTGTACGTGCAACGTTACGTGGCAAAAGGCGCTAACCGAAGACACTCTTAGAAGCTAATGTAAGGTTAAAACCGTTAAAATAACAACCACTTTTAATTGTTTAAATGTTACCATCCTTGACACTACTCAACCCCGTATTAAAGTAGACATTTTAACAAAGAAGCAACGGCATCAACTTTTGCAAGTTTTCCAACAAAGTTAGTTATCTTAGTTATCTCTGACAGACTTATAACGTTATTAGTGCGTGTATTTCACATACTCGGTAATTGGCGCAGGCAATATCGCAAAAATAAATCGCGAAATGCAGTATTTTAAGGAATTAATTATGTTTTTTGTTAACTTTCACCCAATAACCGGAATTTTCACGTGACGTTTTAGTATGAAGGACAGCATTAGGTAACTTCCTGTGTGGTTCTAGTTACGTGCTGCTGATTAGACGCAGCCGGGGTTGCATGCAAGGAGGGCGGCTTGACGGACGGATGCGGCGGGTACCAGGCTGCTAACAATAGCCTCCAGCGGCTCTCCAGACTGCTGCCTCTCCACTGATACGCGCGGAATGCGAGCTGTCAACAGATGCTTCTAACACATGATGACGCTCTTGGAGTTAGAATGGACGCTGCATCTAATTTTAACCTCGGGACCAAAAGGCATTATAGTAGGGTTAATCCAGTGTCCTTGGTGCGGAATTCTTTTGTTTATAGAAACCACGCAGAAATAATATACCAGCTCAACTCAATATAGCCTCGGCCTCCCACACTGTCAGTTGGGCATAGGGCTTTAAAAGTTGGCCTTAAACTGCAGCTCTTCGCACAACTGGAGGCCATCAACTCCATGCCCATAACCTCCTGTGGCCCCCACAGGGATGACAAAACTGTATTTTTGGTAACACAAGGCAGCAACAGGTCCCTTGTATATACACAACAATCTTTCCAGTGTTTATATTGTACTCATCATAATTTGGAGTTACTTAGTGGAGACTGGTATAGTTCTTGGAACAGCTGTTCACACTAATCAGAACTCATAAATCACCAGTGATGGTCGCATACAGCAACATTGGTATAGTGTTTTTTTTATTATGATGGGAGGTGATAAAGGTGTTCTGTGTCTGACTAGTTTGTTATAAACCCCTGCTTGACACTATTGTTGCCACAAGGCTTATATTTGTTTCATTAGGGGCCACTATTAGTCACCTTAAATATTTTATCTAATCCAATCTCTGGTGCAGTGGCCTTATTTCAAATCCTACTTTCAGATGAGGTAGCTTCTTTTCGTTGGATATTAATGAGACCTTTTTGAATATTTTAGTTGACTCAGATATAACCTCAGTTAACATTAATGTTTCAGAGTCTTTGTCTTTTAAACATGTTAAACAGCCGCTTCTCATGTATTTTCCATCCTCCTGGACATGGCATGCCAGCCTATGACCTAGTGAGGCCCCAAAGGCATCAGCCAGTTCAGTGACAGGGTTGGTCCTCGCTTAATGTGATTCATAAATATATTTAGCCTTAATCGTCATTGGTCTGTAGTGTTGGAGAGTGAGGTAGGGGGCTTGGAAAGTGAGCAGCAGGGGTCTGTGACTGAGTCAAATTTGGAGAACCGGCAGGCCACGTTTTTTAACAAGGAGGGCAGCAGTTCAATGTCACACTCACCCTGGGGACTCACTCAGTGTGGAATGTGATGGCCTTTACTCCAAAGCCTGTAATATTATGTTCTTGCACTGGCAACCAAAGAAAAAGCCTAAGCGTCTGGCAGGTTCCCCCATAAACTCATGTATTCATGAGATCTTTAAAATGTGCTAAAATATCTAAAAGTAATGTCAAATGACGCTATCAATTTATTATAAATAATTATTAACTGATAAAAGCATTTGACAAATTTGCTCTTGTATTCTCAAAGGCTATAAGAATACACATTTATTGTACTATTTGCTCAAAACAGCCCAAACAAAGGGCCAAAAGAATAATATATATGAATATTATATTATAAATTATATATATTTAAATATAATCATCATACTTCAACCACTGATATAAAAAGTACTCAAAAAAGCTCCAGGACAAATATATATTTGTCTTGGTGACATAGGAGATTAAAAGAGCACACTATCAAGTCTGGCACTTGGCTCACTTAACAGACAATTTACCAAATATTTAATATAATATACTAAATACGAAAATGTAATTACTGATAGTAGCTTAAGATTTTCTTTCTATTGTGGCAAAAGTTAACTTTTTTTAAAACAATGAAAGATCTATACATCCGTCCTTCTGGCATACCCTTACATTTATTTTTCTTTAATAAACAATTGTTTATAATGCCGTCATCCTTAATCCACGCTTGCCTGTCTTCATGCCTTAGCGTTGTAATGAGTGAGACCTGGAATAACAGCATACTGTGATAAAGCTATCACCCTGCAGCTGTAACCAATCACATTCTAAGTGGCAAACTAATGACAGAAAGTGATGTGAGGCGAAAAAACTGTATCCACGTGACATTTTCACTTATGTTGACACGGCGAGACATTTAGACGTTTTTCCCTCCCGGTCTCTTATCGTGAGCCACAGCAGAGCGGTCTAAATTTAACACCTTGTATCGGTCGGAATGTGCTCTGTGGTCGGCTCACAGCTTTCATCCGAGCAGTGTTGAGCGTCTGTGAACTCTGTGGCTCGCTATTGACAGACTTTTTAAAAATAGGAGAAGAAAGACAATGATCCTGTCTTAACTTGATTTACAGTATTTTAGTACCCCACCTGGAGTACTTTGGTTGTTAGCTTTGGAACTAGAAGAAGAAAAAGTTGAAATTCGACACTAATGGGTCACTGAAGGTTAATCCATAAATTTAGCAGTGGACAAAGAGGTTAACATTGATTTTGTACATAGTCTAGTAGTGAAGACTTGTTAAGCTGTTAGCTGCCTCACTTTGTTTAGGTCTGTTGCAGACAGAAATATACAGTGGTGGACGAAGTACTCAGATATTCTACTGAAGTAAAGCAGCAATACTGCACTGTAACAATACTCTGTTACAAGTAAAAGTCTGGAATTTAAAGTCATACTCAAGTAAAAGTGTTGGTTCAAAATATACTTAAAATACCACATGGCTTATCAAAATCATGTACATTATATTACTGGATAACGATTTTCAATGCATGAATACGTACATTAGATGTGTAAATCAGTTTATTGTTAAGTTGAACCGTTGATATACATCGTCATTTATTATTTGATTTTGTATTTAATACTCAAGTTAAGTACAAATACAGCAACCTTTTAGAGTACCAGTACAATACATGAGTTCATACACTACATTGCACTGGGAAGGTCATGTAATATATGTTTAAAGTTATTGTTCAAATAGCTTTTAATACTGCTACTCTTTTTTTAACGTGCTTTTTTATAAATATTCTTCTTTCTCCTCTCCTCCTTTTTCTCCTGTAATGCAAGGAAGTGCAGAGATGTTATGCACATAATAATACTTTTTACGTTTGTATGTTGACATTTCATAAAATCCTCTTTTAATTGACTGCTCTCTCATCCCTGTTAGACCTTCACAGCCTGGTGTAACTCTCACCTGAGGAAAGCTGGAACTCAAATTGAAAATATTGAGGAGGACTTCAGGAATGGACTAAAACTCATGCTGCTTCTGGAAGTTATCTCAGGTGAGATCACTAAAGGACAATGTTTATTTCATAACATCATATTTTCATTATCTCTACTTTAATTTGATAATATTGTTACATAGAAAGCTGGATCCATCATAAATGTTTTTATTTGTAGGAGAGAGGTTACCCAAGCCAGACAGAGGGAAGATGCGGTTTCATAAGATTGCTAACGTCAACAAAGCGTTGGAATACATCACGAGCAAAGGAGTGAAACTGGTGTCCATTGGTGCTGAAGGTAACCCTTCCTGTTTAATGAATATACTACAGCTGCCCAACATGAGTGATAATCAAAATGTTAATATTTACTCAAGTCAAATCTGATTTTGTTTGCCTTTCAGAGATTGTTGACGGTAATGTAAAGATGACTCTTGGAATGATCTGGACTATCATCCTCCGCTTCGCCATCCAGGACATTAATGTGGAAGGTGAAATGATAAAATCCTAAATAATCAGAGTCTAGTTATTGTTCTATAGAAAATGTTACAGTACAACAAACCTATACTGTGTTATATGTAACAATTTATTTTGAATTCACTCTCTCCTCAGAAACATCTGCCAAGGAAGGTCTTCTTCTGTGGTGTCAGAGAAAGACTGCCCCCTACAGGAATGTCAATGTTCAAAACTTCCATGTCAGGTCAGTGTTAAAGACATCAAGTACTGTTCATTGAGTCTAATAGTCTAGTTTACGTGATTGATAGCTAAGGGTTGTCCTTTCATTCTATACCTAAGTAAAGGGATTATAACTGTCAACACATACAGAGTTCATACAGTGAAAATCTGCTAATACTCAATTCTTCCTTAGGCCTACTTTAAGCAATACAGATATGTCTGCACCATAGGTATGCTAGTTCTGGACTCCAGCATCTATGAGTTATTTTAGCATGTTCCTACTCTGAACTGACATGTTGGCTCTCTCTGCTCATTGGCCGCTGAAGCTGGAAGGATGGCCTGGCCTTCTGCGCCCTGATTCATAGACACAGACCCGACCTCCTCGACTACTCTAAGCTCAACAAGGTGTCGTGTGGTTTCACTTGTAACCAGGGTGATGTGTTTCAGCCCCCAAAAACTAACATGACTTATTCCCACAAAATTAGCACTCCTATCACAGTGTGAACTAATAAAAACAAATACACACTACAGAGTGAGAATAATGGCTCTATTTATAACGTGTTGACTTCTGCTGTGAAACACTGAGGAAAACTACTCTATATCTAGAACTGGAGGTGTATGCTATGTTTCTGTGTACAGAAAAGTATTCTGATCCAGAGAAAATACAAAATATAGCAGCTTGAGGTTGTTTGTTGGGACCGTTGGTATTATTCATGGCGGTTTTGTATACACAGAGTGAAATAAGAAGAGTCTGTTGAGTATATGTAAGGTAAGTCCAATTGTTTGTCACAGGCAGAATCAGGTAGCATTAATGTTTGCCGTAGATAAACAGTATGTTCTTTTGCTAATGGATTTAATCAACGGATGGGTTTCTTCTTCGCAGGATACCATTTTATCATTAGTCTCACATCATGCTTCATTAATCCAAACTAAAGCAGTTCACAGTGTACACAATTTAAGCATCATTAGCATTCATTGATCGATTTTGAAAAAGCAGTGCCTATACCATTGGACCTAATGGGGAGCTGGTAAATATGTCTACCTTGTCGTTTTGATGAACCAGTACAGAGTTTGCCCGGGTGCGTGCATTGTTTTGAGCTTAAATGCTTTTCGTGGTTTCTGGGTTTAAAGGATGTTGAGGATTCCCAGTGTTTGAATATAAACAGGCGAGGGCCTCAGTGTGCTGCTTATTTGCAGAGCTACAAGACCAACTGACAGCCCTCCAGTCTTGTAACAAGTAAAACATCCTTTCCTTACTTACTGGAAGAAGGTGCTGCAGTAGCAAGTTCGGAATATTTACGTTAGGCTTTTTCTTGCAATGCTAGATCTGTTTTGATATAAAACCACAACTTGGAGGGAAAAAGACAAAATAAATGTTCCTGTCCATAAGCTTTTGTTGTGATTATATTATGTTATACTGCAAATAACTAATTAATGGGCTAAACAATCAGACAGTGTATTCACGAGAAAGTCGATAGCTGAGCTTAAATAGGAACATTTACTTTACCTTTCGGCCAAATTTGGCTCAGTACTGTATATGTATAGCAGGGGAACACCAAGCTCCATTACAAAGAGTGACATTTTCATTTGTTTTGGAAACAGAAGGCGTTCACTTTTCAACACACAACTCTCTGGCGTGACTTGGAGTTGACCCTGAATATTCACAGAAACATGAGCCTTGTCCCCTTCAGTGCTCAGGCTTAACTTGACCTCTGCTATTGTCCACGATGTCACGTAGTGTTCCCCACTCAGAGGCTGCCAGTCCTCATAAAAGTCAGGAAGATGTCTACTAGATTTCTACTGTCATGTTAATCCGTCAAATCTTAAGGATGGTGTTGAGTCTCATAGTTAGGAAAGGGCACTTGGGGTAAATATGAATGATGGGGAGCACACACATAATCTACCATATCGATTTCTTTCTACTGCTTTTTCTCACACTTTAAATCTCTTTGACATACATATTTACACACTCGACTTTCAGTTCTGCTCGTGCTGCCAGGAGACAGTTTTGCACCTGGCAGCTTTTGAGTCTGGCTCCAGGTAAGAGCGTTTGTTAAGCTTCACTGTTACTGCCTGCTGAGACAGGTCTGGTCTGGTCTGGTCTGGTCACACACACACACACACACACACACACACACACACACACACACACACACACACACACACACACACACACACACACACACACACACACACACACACACACACAGGCCTTGGGCTATCCTTCTATCCATCCCTACATCCCGTCATGGATTCACCACCCTGTCCCTCTGTCTCTGTGTGTCCTGCTCTGGATCTGTGAGCAGCTGGTCCTGTCATGTAGTGAGCTAGCCCCCTACGTTTATGGAACAGCGGGACAGAGATAGGGACAATAGCAGCAGCATGATAGCATGATCCCTTTACCTCATTGCACTCTCACTGACTGTCGTATTAGTAGGGAGGGGTTCACCGTCAGCTGTTGGCAAAATGCACCCGTCCCACCCTTGTTATGCACTTGGTTTCTCCTGTTGAAGATATATGTGATGTTTGTTGTAGGGCTGAAATGTTTTCTTGTCTAATCTCTTATTAACTTAATTTACAAATTCATTTAGTTTAATAGTGTTGTCATAAATAGTGTAAATTATTAAAATCAAGTACAAACATATGCTGGTTAAGATTTTATACACTGATTTTAAGATGAATAGCCATATTGAAAAATAATCATATTTGAAGTCTGCATCAGAGTATGGACATCCACTACAATACACTTTTTAACTTTTTTTATATTAATGTTAGTTTACAAATGGTCGTTCTCTTAAGCATAACTTTCTCTTTAAGTTTCATTTTTTTTTACATATCATGTTTTAACTTAATATAATAACACTGCAGACAGAATGTAGAACTTCTTAAGCTTATTCAAAAACAAATGCTATTAAATGAATGCGCATGTACAGTAGGAGATCAGGGAGTACGATGTGTCCACCATAGCATGGGGGTCAGTGCAGTGGCATTTTAAGTCCAGCATTGCTGTTCAGTGATGTAGAATTATGTTTCTTTATTTAGGATGATCCTCTGGGGAACCTGAACCTGGCTTTTGACATAGCCGAGAAACACCTGGACATTCCCAAAATGCTGGACGCAGAAGGTAATGCTTTATGAAATACATATCTAAAATATGATTTTTCCAAATAGAAATGTCAACTCATATTTCAACCATATGCTGTACTGTTGTGTTGGACTGTCATATTTTGTCTGTTGAAGGTCTATTTTGTTTTGCAATGTTAGTCCTAAAATCACATTTTAATGTAGACAATAAATGAATATGTTGCTTCTGTCTCCCTTCATTCTTCCAAAGTAATTTCCACTATTTTAATTTGTCCCTCTTTTTTTTCTCTTTCTGCCCCTTTCTCCTCTATCTAAGACATCATCAACACCCCGAAGCCCGATGAAAGAGCTATCATGACCTATATGTCCTGCTTTTACCATGCCTTTGCTGGAGCTGAACAGGTATAGTTGGTGAACCATCACCTTACCAACTTTTTATTTTAGCCAACCCTATCTATATATTCATTTTGAGAGCGGGTGCAAAATTATTGTCAGTTTGATTCTAACTTGGCATTTGACCAACAAAAAGTATTGCTGGGATAATGTTATAACATAATTTGAAAGGATCAATGGGAGCGTGGCCCGCTGTGTAACTATGCTGATGTAATTCCAATTTATTGTGCCCTGTGCTCTCAGGCAGAGACGGCTGCCAACAGGATCTGTAAGGTGCTCGGTGTGAACCAGGAAAACGAGAAAATGATGGAAGAGTATGAGAGACTGGCCAGCGAGGTAAAGCAAAATTAATCTTTTGATGAAAAGATATCTTCTTTTATGATGACGACACATTGTGCAATTTAATTAGATTTTTCCAAAGTAGATTAAACTTTGGAACCTTTGTAGATAAGAGTATACACAGTACACGTAACACTAAAGTTTCTCCCCTTAGATGACTATATACCAAAAAAGTACAGATTGAAATGTGTTTTCCCCCACTTATGATTCCATCTGCTGAATAAAATCAATAATTCATCACAGTCTTCCTGACACACTGATATCTTAGCATGGTGCTTTCTTGACTCTCCACTTATTCCCATGTTGTCCTTCTGTTTCCAAGCTGCTGGAGTGGATCCGCCGAACCACTCCCTGGCTGGAGAACCGGACCCCAGAGAAGACCATGGCGGAGATGCAGCGAAAGCTGGAGGATTTCAGGGACTACAGGCGCCAGCACAAGCCCCCTAAAGTGCAGGAGAAGTGCCAGCTGGAAATTAACTTCAACACCCTGCAGACCAAGTTGCGCATCAGCAATCGCCCTGCCTTCATGCCCTCCGAGGGGAAGATGGTATCTGTAAGTCACTCCAAACTCTTCCACTGCCTGTGTGTGTTCACCATCACTGTTTATGTCAAGTATTTTAGAGGTAAAACAGTCAACAGCCAACCAATAGAAGCTGATGTTTTTACACTAATATACATATTTATATATTTCTCATTTAGACTTGTATTTTTAATGTTGTGTACAGGACATTGCCAGTGCATGGCAGGGCCTGGACCAGGCAGAGAAAGGGTATGAGGAGTGGCTCCTCACAGAGATCCGTAGGTTGGAGAGGCTGGACCATCTGGCTGAAAAGTTTCGCCAAAAAGCCACCAACCATGAGAACTGGGCCAGCGGTCAGTTGAAGTTTTATATTTCAGCATTTTAACTGTCTGCATGCTTGCTTTTCTATTAATGTCTTACTGCAGCACAACACTACAGTGTATCTATGTTCAAACTATGATTCTGATATGGGCCATTTTGATACCTGGTGCTTAATCAGTTTCAGGTCTGACTTTTTGCGATGCAATCTCAGTCTGAACAGTCATAGTGGATTTTTCACTTTAAATCAACATTGACACTCTCAATTTTCTGACTTGCGTGTCACATCAACTTATAATGAAACCATCAATACTGACTTCAGCAGCCTCTATGTTAAAGACAGCTTGCTGCGTGGGCCTTCCTATGATTACATTATTTGTTACCAAGCGGGTCATTCCGGGAGTGTGACCAGTTCACTATGATCAGAATTGAGCCTTGAGGCTTACAGTGGTAACTTATCCTAGATCTATGGTCCATGATTATCTGTTTATTTTTTAGCCTTGGCCTCTGTATTCCTGCTTCTCTGACTGCTTTTCAGTTTTCAAGTGTTTCCACTAACCCTAGGGTTTGTTTAGACTTGTTCCTTATTAGAATTGATTGAAGGTTTTATGGTCTGTCCAAAGCAATCAGCCTGTAGTGGACTGCAACAGGTCAAGTTCTCCATCAGCAATGACCAAATAAGGCCTGTGTTTAAACCTCACCTACCAATCATCTTGTTGTTCCCCTCTTACCTCATTTCTTTCTCTGTCTCTTTGAATATGTGTGATATTCAGGTAAAGAACTGATCCTCTCCCAGAACGACTATGAAACAGCCACCCTGATTGAAATCAAAGCATTGCTTCGAAAACACGAGGCCTTTGAGAGTGACTTGGCAGCTCACCAGGACAGAGTGGAGCAGATTGCAGCCATTGCACAGGAACTAAAGTACGCACTCCCGAAAGCAGACATTTGCAGTCATGAGTCGAATGAAGCCCAGGAGTATGTTTTCACGTCTGCCAAACACAGTGCCACCAAGGGGAGGCAGGGGGCAAATAGCAAAATCGACTAATGCAATCCCAATTTGTGTTTCTTTAATAACTTGTATTGTATAACCTAGAGGGCTGATAGTCTCGAAAGATTATTCTTGACAATCAACAAAGGACGTGCAGAACCAAAACACTTCTTTCTCAGTGAAAATGCTTCCCTTCAACCACTTGAGATATTACATGAAGACAAAAGTGGGAGAAAAGCAGAACAAACACATTGGAACAAAATGAACTCACTGTGGAAATGTGACTTTCTCAAAAGTATTTGTTTAAACAACTTAAATCCTCTTCTTCTTGGTTAAGAATGTTACCTTATCTTAATAGAAGGGGAAGGGTGTAGTACTGAGGGATGTTGACATTTTTAATCAGCAGTCGATCAGCAACAGCTGTCCATAGTTATCTTCTTTTCCGGAATTGGCCACAGTACTTCCTGTTTCAAAGTTATCCGCTTTTCTAAAAGCAGATGCACGTTAATGAATTGTGTCTTATATGGGTTGGATGGTCTTGTCTTAAATTGAAGGTGCTTACTTAAAGGAATTGTCAGATCACTTTTCAGTGATGCTACAGAAAGGAACATTACTCTGGTGTTTTGAAACTACGCTAGTTTACCAAACAAGACAATAGTGATACTGTGTTGTGTCTCCATTTGGGATCAAGGTTAAATAAGTAGCATTAGTCAAATGTAAAGACATTTTCTTTGCTTTAAAAAAACAAAACCTTATTCGTCCTTGGAGCCTCTTTTAAAACATCCACTTTATGTATATTTCCTTTGTAGCTATATTTCTAAATGTAATATTATATTTTGGCAGTTTTCTATGACCAGACCTTCATCATTGAACACTTGAGTCTGACATTGTGCTTTCATAACCCTTTTTAATCCGTTTTTTGTTATTTTTGTTTTGTATCTAAATGGCTGGGGAACTATAACACCATAAAGCTATTTTCCATAATTGAAATCAACAGCTGTTGATGCTTTGTTTTTCTAGTGAGCTGGACTACCACGACGTGGCTGCTGTAAACCAGCGCTGCCAGAGCATTTGTGACTTGTGGGACAAGCTGGGAACCCTGACTCAGAAGAGAAGAGAGGCACTGGAGGTGAGATGACCCACTCTATCTTTTTTTAAATTATATTTTGTGAGGTTAATGTTTTCACATATCTTAGGATAAGTTAATAAGTCTCCACAAGAGTGCGCTAATGTTCCACACAGTCCCCAATAGATGCAGAATCCAAAACCAACTTAATCAAAATGTCATTGTAATCATATTTAGATGTCTGTCAATGACATCTGAACAGTGAAGACATGACTGATTGATGAGGAGAGTATCCCCTCTCAAACCCCTGACCTAGACAGAATGGTAAAACTGAAGGGTGTAAGAGATAGAGGAGAAATAGATGTAAGAGTCCTGTCCAAGAAGTGATTGGCCGAGAGCCCGCGAGCCACTTCCTATGATCCGTGCTGGCCATCCACACCTGTGAATGTGTGAGGCCCCTGGAATAGGGCCAACGATTAAGTCTGAATGACGGGGACAGAGGTCTGTTTTCTGTCATTTCCCACACCCCAACACCCACTGTATGCGGGGAGGGGAGGGGAGGGGAGGGATTTTGTCAGGAATAACGAAGCCAGAGTTAGGGGTAAATGAGGCCATAACAATGTTATGCCCCCTCGGATTAGTCATTAAAACAGGTGAGGGGAGGTTTTTCTGGGATTTGTATGTGAGATGTGATGAGGATGACTTCTCCTTAGATCAAGGCCGACTCAATGCTGAGCTATAGGTTGGATGTTTTCAGGGTTTATAAATAAAAAATCCAGACATGTGATATCTTGTAATCCCCTCAGCGGACAGATAAGCTGCTGGAGACGATTGATCAGTTGTTCATAGAGTTTGCCAAGAGGTTGGCTCCGTTCAACAACTGGATGGAGGGAGCCATGGAGGATCTGCAGGACATGTTCATAGTGCATACTATTGAAGAGGTTCAGGTAGGTTCTTTCATTTCACAACAGGTGTGCTGTTATCAAATGTAATTTAAAGTGAACCTGCTCACAATTGTCCTATGATCACCTTGGAGGTGCAATGTTATATAATGTGTAATGTTGGTATACCTGTCACACCAAAATATAACCACATCATATTATCACTCTTGACAAAATAGAAATTTTAATAAAATGAAGGACTTCCCTTTTTCCATTCCAGAGTTTAATCGCAGCTCATGAGCAGTTCAAAGCGACTCTCCCCGAGGCGGATGCAGAGAGACAGGCTCTCTTGGGAATCCACAATGAAGTGCAGAAAATCTCCCAGAGCTATGGGATAAAGGCTAACATTGTCAACCCATATAGCACCCTCACAACTGAGGACCTTATCGAAAAGTGGGACAAGGTACTTGCGGCTTCAACACTTACTGACACTCACATCAAGGAATAAAGTCATTATTGAGATAGTAGCCGTCTAGCCATATAAGAAACATAAATTATGAAATATCTACGCTTCAAAATCAAGAATTGCTACATTAAAGTTGTATTGCTGAGTTAAAGGACTATATAACACATAGTAGTAGCATGCTGCTGCTCAATGTCTCTTTTTAGGGGAAGCCAGCTTCTTGCAATTACAACTAAGCCCTGTGTGTGTACATGCATGTGTTTTGTAGGTGAAGAAGCTGGTTCCTCAGAGAGATGGTGCCCTCCAGGAGGAGATGGCCCGTCAGCATGCCAATGAAAGGCTGAGACGACACTTTGCTGCCCAGGCTAATCTCATTGGACCGTGGATACAAACCAGGATGGAGGTCAGACATACAGGCTTCATTTGAAATTCGACAGTCACCTCCACCTAATCAAATAAAGACCTACAATGGAAGATGATTACATTCAAAAGCATTGTACCGTGCTTGTGGCTGCCCAGATAATGATAATAGAATAATGCAAATTATTATTTCTATACACATAACATGTTCAGATGTTATATGTCCTGAGAGACTGTACTTTAGACGCAGGTTAATAATTACCTGCCTTGTTAGTGAGGATTGTATGATCTAAATTGGTCCAAATAATAGATTGTCCTTGTTGGGTTTGCTACAGGATATTGGCCGCTGCTCCCTGGAGATAGGAGGCACCCTGGAGGACCAGATGACCCAGTTGAAGCAGTGTGAGCACGTCATTGTTGCCTACAAGCTCAACGTCGACAAGTTGGAGGGAGACCACCAGCTAATCCAAGAGTCCCTGGTGTTTGATAACAAACACACCAACTACACTATGGAGGTACAGGGCAAACAGTGTTATAAGACTATGCATGGAGGGTTGTGTAATTTCAATAATCTTGCGGGAAGATACGTATCATTATACCGGGGTTATGAATAAGCTAAGCAATATCTTGCCTTGTCTTTTTTTTTGTTGCGGAACACAATTGCATTCATTGAAGTCCCTGTAACACTCAACATCACTGCACTACTTTCTGAGCAAATAGATTAACATTTGGCTATAACAGTTATACCAAAATGCTTTGAGGTTTCTTTGGGTAAATACATTTGTGGAAATACAAAAATGTAAAATTGATTCATACAGACTATTAATACAGTATGACAAAAACACAATATCGATGACAATATAAACGGAAACTGACACATTAAGCATTAGTAAACCTACATTTAGATATCCAGTTTTAAAACCTATTCTGACTGTTCAGGGTGTGTCTGTGTTAACACATCTTCTCTGTCACCACATCAACAGCATATCCGTGTCGGGTGGGAGCTGCTCCTCACGACTGTCGCCCGCACCATCAACGAGATCGAGACCCAGATCCTCACCCGGGATGCCAAAGGAATCAGCCAGCAGCAGATGAAAGAGTTCAGATCCTCTTTCAACCACTTTGACAGGGTACAGCTTTCTACTATTTCGCATAACTGCAGTCTGTTTTTGGGCGATTTTGAGTGACTGATTTGAAGCAATCAGAGCGATTCAGAAGCCGAGCAGGAGGTTGTGGTGGTAGCCCTATATTTAGAGTTGCCCTGTGGCTTTTATTCAAGCTACATCAGAACTGTAGGATTTTCACAGACTGACTGACTGCGTCTCACCATGACGAAGCAACAGCATGGATAATACAAGTGACGAACACAAAGTTGAAAAAACTTGCTGTGTACTAGATAAGAACATTTTGTGTCAGTCTATACGACTTCCACGTGCAGTGTGTGCATCAAAATATATGATTTACTATATTTGCTCAGTTTAGAAGCTCTCAGACATCAATTATCATTACATTTTCATCTTCTTTAAGGTCGAAACAGCAAGATTATGTGCTAAAAGTTGAGAGAATTCAAATGTATTTTACAACAAAAATGTTAAATAATTATTTTGGTTGTTTCAAATTTGGAAAAGTGGTCTTGGACTGATTCTTACAATATTTCTGTCATATGTTTTGCTATATTAAAAATCATGTTGTATTGTATGTGATTACATTTTCCCCCTATTATGATGTATTATTTTCTCTAATCTCTCCTAAATCTGAAATGTGGCTTTGAATTGCAGAAGAAGAATGGAGCAATGGAGACTGATGACTTTAGAGCCTGCCTCATCTCTATGGGTTATGACTTGGTATGCAGTTTTAAACGTGCTATCTCATCAGTACTTTACACAAATATTGCTTGATATTTTCTCATTCTCCATCGTTGTGTTTCTCAGGGGGAGGTGGAGTTTGCCCGTATAATGATCCTGGTGGACCCCAACGGTACTGGAAAGGTCTCTTTCCAGTCTTTCATAGACTTTATGACCAGAGAGACTGCTGACACGGACACTGCTGAGCAGGTTGTGGCATCCTTCCGCATCCTGGCAACTGACAAGGTATGCGTGTGTATGTGTTAGTGTGGCATACCAGCAGATATTCTTAGGCATCACTAATCTATTCTATTCCAGTTATTACTTCCAAGTATTTGCCATGCCATTATGATTGATGATGTGCAATTTTATTCCTGAGCTCAAAATGGAAAAGGGTGGAGATTGTAGCAATTTTTAGGCTGAACAGAAACAGACGCAGGACACAATGTGAAGTTAAAAAAGGCGGCCTTCACTGAAGAGCCAGGTAATTATACACAGTAAATCCGTCCAAACTGAGAAGACAAATCCAGGCTGGGATCAGGCAAAGTCCCAAAACTTTGGAAACTAACACTAGAGGATGCTGGGAAGTGACACACCAGGAAGAACATAGATAATAGGCTTTGAGCGAGAATGAAACTGTGACGTATTTAAGAAGCATGACACACCGCTAGAATATACAAACCAGGTTGTTAATTGATTTCATCCTTGCATCATCTGCTCAAATCTCTAATGGAGACAGGAGGGAAAGAATTGAGGATGTATAAACAAAAGAAGGGAACAAATGACTGTATAACAGGTTGGGTAGATGGGAAAATCATTGGCAGGTAAGAAGGGCAGGCATAAGATAAGATGTAATTTATTGATCCCAAATTGGGAAATGTTTGCGTTGCAGCAGCATAAAAAAACAAGGCATTGCACATAAGTAGAAATAAACTATTTTAAAATGTAAACATCTCAAAATGTGTGGAAAATCAAGAAGTCGGGAGCACACAAGGTTAAGAACTAAAACGGCAGGAGATGTTAGTTTTTCATTAAAAAAAGGCTAGATTAGCAATATGTTCTCTGTATTGGCATGAATGTTTCCGGAAACAGGCCTGATGTACATTTTGTCTCCACAGCCCTACATACTAATGGAGGAGCTGAGGAGAGAACTTCCCCCTGAGCAAGCAGAGTATTGCATCATGAGGATGCCGCCATACGCTGGCTCTGGAGCTCCACCAGGGGCGCTGGACTACACCGCCTTCTCCACTGCCCTCTATGGAGAGAGCGACCTTTAACTGACTAAAAAAAACCTTTCACCTACTGACCATGAACCTAACCACCCCTCCCTACCTATCATCCATCCCGATGAATTTAAAGAATCTATAAGAAAGTTGGTTCAAATATGTTGAATTGAATATGTTTGTGACCATCCCTGGTTTTTGTTGATTAGTTTTTTTGACATTTGGCTGTCTACAATCATGCTGAGCATTTTCAAATGTCTTGGTAATCTTGTTCTGTCCTCTTGGATAAAATTGCCCCCTAAACAAATAAGAATTTCCATGTTTAAATTATATTTTGAGAAAAAAACGATTGTATATTTTATCTTGTGTGTTATGGAGTTTGTGCAAAAAAATGGTTATGTGATTAGGAGAAAATGTAATCAATCATAAATACAGATCACTAGAACATAGACGTCTTTATGTCCTGATTCGACTAGAAGTGTCTTGTAGTGTTTAAGGTTTCCTCCCAGTGCCTTTGTTTTGGGAATACAATCTCCTGATAGGGCGTTTTGAGATGCTTCAAAGTGAATTACAGTTTACTAAAGCAATTTCAGACGTCCTGCCATCCAACAATAAACAGTGTTCAAAATGGGTTCCCAAAAGTCTAAGAATACACAGTATCAACAAAGGAAAAGTGGGAAACTACAAGAATGCAAAAGTAAATTGCTCAGTGGTTTAAAGGCAGAGAATGCAGGTGATTAAATGTGCATTATTCATGAAAATTGTGTTTTAGGATTGAAACATTTTCTGAGGGAGCAACAAATATGTAAATGCTTACATGTGCCAAGAGATGTAAAAGAAACTGCAAAAATCAACACACAAATAAGAAAATAAAGATTGAATGACGCACAACAGGTCCTTATTTGGTAGTATTCATTTAAAGCCCAAAGAGGTTCCTTCATGTTTATTTTTTTTCTATGAGCTGGAAAAAAGGGGCATATTTGCTTTATCCGGCAAATGGGACATGGCTCATGTATAGCACTCATGGCAATTTTTTTGAAATGTGTAAATTCACTTTTTATGAACTATTGGATCTCTTTGTTGACATTTTTCTATGCCGCCAAAGGCATTTTGCTGACATTCTTCTGTATTTCCCCAGCTTTCTCTAGAGTAATGTAAGCATTTTTGAAAACAATTTTTGGCTTAAAAAGCTAATTTAGCAAGCTGTGCTGTGTTTTATGCCTTTAATGTCTGTTCACGTTTTTTACACAAGGATCCTTTGTGGACAAATTCAAGAACTATTGCTGCTAGAAATATACCAGCTGATTCCTGGTTTGTCCATATTATACAGCTATTTTGCTGGATGTTACCTTTCCTATCACATTCTATACCTTTTGAGATTAAAATAAAGAAATGCTACATAAATAATTTTCATACAGTCATGCACAAATGCCGTATTTAAATATACAGCAATGGCAATTATTTAAAAATATTCTGGTAATTGAATTGCTCATAACGTATGATACTAAGCAAATAACTTACTTATAAATATCATGTTATGCTTTGATTAAGTTAAATATTTTGTGTGTTTGATTTCACACCCATTGGCAATTTGTGAAGAGTTCTAAAATACTTTGGAAGTTATCAAAGTGATGGAATTCTCTTTGAAGTGGGTCATTTGCCACTTCACACAAACTGAACCCAAGCACTGAAGCTCACACTACATTTAGGGAAAGCAATCTTCTTTAAAAGAAAAGTATACTTTTACTGTTACAGATGAACATAACTTTAGTCACCACTGATCCATGTGTCCGAGAGATATTTTTAAAGCTTTGATTTGTTATATTTGGTCAAAACATAAAGATACTCAGGCAGCACTCCTTGAAGAAATGCTCTGGTTCTGTTATCAACAAATGCAGTGAGTTCAACTTTGAGGGTGAAGGTTTAATGAACAAATAAAATAAATACATTTTCAGTCTAATTCAAACTGTACATTTTAATGGAATGATCTTAGGTTATACCTTGTCTCTCATTCTGCAATTTCGCTAAATTGGAAAATATTAAAAGTCAAATCCAAAAGGCTGCAACATGCTGTCACACCTGAACTGGAGAGTGAAAGTGTTAAAAGGGGGAGATAGAGTAGATGACGCAAAAAAGGATCACAGGCCTTATTCAAATCTGCATCTACCACAGCAAATAAGGTATTTTAGTACAAAAACAAGCATTCAAAAGTATTATCAAGTCAGTAATTAGACATGTTCATGCTGTGAGTACAGTATATTTACATTGGAGTGGTTAGGAAATTACTTGGTAAGTAGAGTATATGGTGAGATTTCTCAATCGCATCTTCTGAGGAGCATGGATTTGCTCAGAAATGTCAGGGCAATAAGCCTATTATTATCTTCAAGGGAAGTTGGACTTTGGTGCCAGGATGGTATAAAATAAATGTCATGCAACCAAAATGGGCTTGGGTCCTCTGGGGATAATGAAACCCTCATTGAGTATTATTGTATTTATAGCCCATTAGATTTAGATATATTTTGTGAGCAAATGGAACTTTTGTTCTAATGGTGTGCTAAGTAGGTACAAGTGGGGGGTTACCATACACAAGATTAGTATTATTTCCCCTGGGCACCATTAATATCAAAATTACGAGAATCCATCCATTCGTTACATACACAATGGAATAAAGGATCATTCAAGTGAAGCTATGACCAGATAATGTCTCTGGGGCAAATGATGAATGGTTGTTAAAACCCAGCAAAAATAACGCCGTGAATATTTGAATGGAAAATCTTTTCACTTCATAATATCCTTTATTTAACCAGGTAAAGAACTCTTTGAGATTAAAATCTCTTTTACAAGAGTGACCTGCCAAGAAGGGCAGCATTAACACATTTACAACAGATAAAACACAGGCAATACAGGCAGACAAATACAGCTGTAAAACAGAGAAAATGGCACATTAGCCAGTCAATATGCAAAATAAAAGAAATTATTAAAAATCATTAAAAATTGAACATTTTTAAAACGACTTCAATTTTTGGATATACGAGCACTCACATGTCTACCAATGGTGTCATGTTCTCTGTCTTTTAAGATGGACCTGAATTCCTCAAAGGTGATACAATTTGATAGTTTCAGCTCCTTCTGTACATTATTCCAAGCAGTGGGGGCAGCATTTAAAAGCTGTTTTACCCAGTTCTGTTCTTACTTTAGGAACCAGCATCTGAATAAAATCTTGGGAGCGCAGGCCTTATAGACTTTCTCTTTTACACTACATGTGCAAATGTAAGAGGGAACCAGCCCAAGCAGAGATTTATAAATAAACCCCTACGGGAAAGTCTGCGAGCAGACAAAAATGGCCAATTAGCAGCAGCATATAAATTGCAATGTTTTACCCGATATCCACATCCAGTAATAAAACGTAAAGCACAATGGTACACAGTATCCAAACTCTTTAGGCACTGGTCAGAGGCATTCATATAAAGCAGATCAACATAATCCAATACAGGGAAAACGTTGCAGAGATCAAATGTTTCCTTGGAAGGAGAAACATGATTTGCTTCTATGAAAGAAACCTAATTTTATTTTTAGCTTTGAAACAACATTTTCCGTGTGTAACTTGAAAGACAAGTTCTGGTCAATAATAAAACCCAGATATTTGTATAGTGACCCTTTCAATATCAATCCCTTGAACAGTGCAAATCTTGGATAGAAGGTAACTTTTTGCCATTTGAAAATATCATCAGTTTGGATTTGTCTGCATTTAATACTAACTTGAGTTGATATAAATGGGTTTGAACAACATCAAAGGCAGACTGGAGGAAATCAAGACTTTGCTCTATAGAAGCGGAGTAACTTTGTCTAATACTTCCAAGATGTTTCCTTTGTACTGTTTTTAAAAATGTTTTAAAGCTATATAGACAATTAACATATCCTACAACTCAACACAGGCCAATACAAAAGTTCAAATTAATACTTGAGTATTTCCATTTTATGGTGCTAGGCCAAATGCTACTCATTAAATAATGAGTATTATATTTTGGTAGTTTTTTCTAAACCAGTATTTTTAAGCCGTTTAGCGTTTACTACTCAAACTGAAAACAACAACACTTTTTGGATATTGAGTCGGGTGTTGAGTATTATTCCAAATCCCAAATGAGTGGATGTACATTCCCCAGAAGTTATATTAACCACACATAATTAGCAGGTCAGAGGTGTAAAGTAACTAAGTACATTGATTCAAGTACTTTAAGTAAAATGTTGAGATACTTGTAGGCTACTTTACTTTAGTATTTCAATGTTTTGCTACTTAGCAATTCTACTCCACTACAATTCAGTTTCAAGTCGTGTACGTTTACTCCACTACATTTATTTTGCACCTTTAGTTACTTTACAGACTTGGATTAATAAAGTGAAATAAAAACACTTAAATAAGACTTTAGTTAAACCTGGAGTAGCATTCACAAACTACCTTGCAGTATACAAAGTAAATAAAAGAGCTAGCTGCACCTTTACCAGCTTTGATAAACACATTATTCCATCCATAATTATAATCAAATCATATGATCTGAAATGGGCAGATCTGCATTATGAGTAGGTAGTATTTTGATGCCAATACTTTTATACTTTTACTTGAGTAACATTTTGATTATAGGTCTTTTAATTGTTACAGAGTATTCCTACACCCTGACCCTGGTACTTGTACTTTTACACAAGTACAAGATCTGAGTACTTCTCCCAACTCTGCAGGTAATATAATTGTAGAAGTATAGACAGGCCTGGAACTGCATCCTTCTTCACTTGACATAAAGCCCTCCCGCCAAAATAGCAGTTGTAAAAAAGAAAAAAAAATGGCGTCACGGGAGTGGGGCAGACTCCGCCCTCACATCAACACCTTCTCACTACTTATTTTGCCAGTCCTCCTCCTCCATTCAGTGACAGTAATGATACTCAAGTCTGTCTTGTGTGGCTTGTTTTGTTCCAATAATGACTGACACTGGAGAGGGCGACGAAGAGTTCCATTTTCTACGAACGGTGAGAGTGACATTTTTTGGCAAAAGTTTTACCCAGAGGAATGATGTGTGTGTTAACAAACTAGCTAACAAGCTAATTAGCTAGCTCAAGCTATGTCAACAATTATTCATTTTCTAAGCTCTTTGAAAGGAAGCCAGTGACTTAAAGTGTAATATTTTGTAAAAATACTTAACTCACAATTATATAACTATTAATTGTGTATGTTGCTAGTCCTCGGGAGTGTAGTATTGTCTTAGGATACAAACATAATAAAATTAACTTCTAATTAAAGTGTCCAAATATTTGAAAATGTTTGCTAGTTAAGTTACCTTACATTTATGTGAAGGCGAAACGTTAACTCTGGCAAACCTTAATAAAAAAAAAACCCCAACCTAAATGGCTCCAGAGTCCAGAATAATTTATTGCAATATTGTATCACCCCAATTTTAATATTGTCTACTCGTTAGTTACTTATTTAATACAGATTAACAGGGCTAGTTTAATACAAAAATCTCCTCTAAAGGCAACGTTTTTAACAGTGTTGTTGTATTGGAATAATATTTAGTTTGTATATGTTTTTTTGCACAGCTCCCAGCAGCATTATTACTATCTTCATCAGTTTAGTTTAAAAGAATACCACAAATGGTTCGCAAGATGCTATCATGCTCCCTGGTTGTAAGTTGTCCTTTCACTGCTTGTTATCTTACCCTGTGATAAGGGCATGTCACAGGGAAGGAGAGTGTCTGTTGTGGATATGAAACACCACACAGGCAGTGATTCAGATGGTTACTGACCCAGTATCCACAAGTCATTTTGCAAGATCGATCCACAAAATGAAATTACATTGTGGATATCTGTGTCATACATAATTAAATTAGCCACCCAGACCCTGACAAATCATGCCCCACGCTCAATATCTCTATTAGACATACTAGTTAAATATATGACATGTGTGAGATAGCACCTTTGCTTTTTCCTTTGAAAGTCACCGTTTTATGTTGTAAGCGTATTAATGTCCTTATGTTGATGGTCTTCATATGAAGCAAGGTGTTTCTGCTTTATGAACTTGGTTTTTCAATTGTCAGGCCTTTTGACTTTTGGAATAAGTCTTGTGACGCAGTGAGTTTTCACTTGCGAAATGTACCTTGAAGAAGAGCCGAGTGCTTTAGCCATCTGAATGCCCCACAGCTTCTCAGCACTGGACAGTGTGTGACTGATTGCAGAGTACTGCTGATATGAAGAGTGGAAAGCAGGGTGAATCATGGGTCAAACTGTGCAGTGTCTTCCCAATATGGAGGTATGCAGCCCTGCGTATGGAGAGGTGTTGCTCGTCGTGGCGGCATTTTGGATAGCAGTCGTCTGTTGTCCCTTTCTTCAGTACCTTAAATAGATGTGAAAAGCCTGATTCCTCTGATATGGTCAATTTGGCATTTACATGAAGATAAGATACATTTAGCTGAGAGATACTGTAAAAGCATTTAGAGTAAGGCTGGACTTACTCTTTGGTGCATTTGTAAACATGCTATGACAACTCAGGAATCCTAACCCAACAAATATCACAAAACCTAATAGCCATATTCATGCTTGCCTTGATGAGCATGTTGGTTCACAAATAAATATTTCTATTAATATTACACAATAGTAAGCTGTAGGGTCTCATATATCAAAGGCTGCTTCAAAGCTTACATTTTTGAGGGCTTGAATGATCTTTTTGTTCCTGGGTTTATAATTGATCCGTATCAGCTTTGGCCTTCACAACAAATCATTTGAATCTTAATTTGCATTTGTTCTACTTGATCTACTTTTTTCTTTCTTTTGTTTCTTTTATACTTTTGAGATTGTGCTTACTGCTGTCTTCTTTCTGTGTGTTTTTCTCAGGGAGATGAGGTGGTTTTGCAGAGTACCTTCACCTCCCAGGAGGAACATGTGAAACTCTGTCTTGCTGCAGAGGGCTTTGGCAGCCGACTTTGCAGGCTTGAGCCCACCTCTAATTGCAAGGTAAAGAGCTCCATCTCAAAGTCTTTTCACATTCCCAGAGAGGTCTAATTGTCAATTACTGTCACTTAAAATGTGGAATGATAGAAGACAGATGCATAACTTGATGCAAATAATTCTCTAATGTTTTATAATATATATTTTTTTAGCAAAATAGAGTAAGATTAATTGAATAAAGTCAATCAAACATTCAAAAAATAGAATTGGGAACACAATTTGTTAACCTACAACTGTCTTTCAACATCTCTAAATGAATACCTAATCACATTCAATATTTTATAATAATGTTTAAGTCCTCTTGTGTGCCAGATTTTCCTCTTTATACCCGATTTAGACTGCCTAATTCCCAAATGTCCTTGTCACTGCTTACAGGAGTTTTGCCCTGTGGAGGGTTGGATATAAAGCTGCCTCAATGACACATGCTCTGCTGTCTTTTTATTTCTTCCAGAATGTTCCACCCGACCTGTCTGTGTGTGGCTTCGTTCTGGCCCAGTGCCTCTCTGTGCGAGCCCTGCAGGAGATGCTGGCCCACAGTGTGCATCTGGCTGCAGAGGTGGGTGTTTAAATTGATCGGTTTCTGTATTTTTATTAAGTCTTTGTTTCTATATCTTTTTATCCACTTTTCAAACTACACAAACTCTGAGTTCAATAATGTGATTCACAGGTGGGAGCTGGAGGAAGCCATCGCACCCTTCTATATGGCCAGGCAGTGTTGTTCCGACACTCATATAGTGGCATGGTGAGTCATCCTCATATAATGCAGCGATAAATCAGAAGGGGTTCATCTTACTTTGCCAACAGTTTAATTAGCTTTTTCAAAACCATTTGTTCATATGTTCGCTGTAAAATATATCTGTTGTTTATTTCACTCCCAGTATCTCAGTTGCTTGTCTTCATCTCACACTTCAACGGACAAGCTGGCTTTTGATGTTGGTCTGCAAGAGGATAAAGCAGGTATTTATTGTTGGGACTTTTTGAATCGGATAAGAATTAAAATCCTGTTTATTGCCAAGTAGGTTTTCACATATAAGGGATTTGCTTTGCTTGATGGGTGGATAGACAAGAAACAAAAATAAAGAAATATGGTCAATGAATTTGTTTAGAATGAAAGTGCTAAACTATGATGACAATTTTATTTATTTAGAATCTTTTTTTTTAACTAAACTGGATATGTGTGGCTCAGGTGAGGCATGTTGGTGGACCATCCACCCTGCGTCCAGACAGAGGTCAGAGGGTGAGAAAGTGCGAGTTGGAGATGACCTCATCCTGGTCAATGTTTCTTCAGAGAGATATCTGGTGAGTCAGTAGGGGTTTTGATGCTTAGATGACAAAGAATCTGCTTCATTGTCTAACACACAAACCTGTTTGATGAGTTTGCAAACTACTTATTAAATGTGGACATAGAATGTGTGCAGAAGGAGAAACCAACCATTTACATGTCAATTTCCATTGCATTTCTTTGGTAGTTTGCAATCTAAGTTCTCTCTGCCTCTGGTGTCTTGATTAGCATAATTGTTCATGATAACAGCTTTTGTAATAGCAAAATCAAAAGTGGCATTCATTGTTGATGAGCATATTTTTGTTTCTTCCCAGCACCTGTCCTTTGGCACTGCAGTTGACAACAAAAGCTTGAGTGACAGCCTGATTGTTAATGCAGCCTTCCAGCAAACTCTCTGGAGTGTCGCTCCCATTTGCTCTGGAGGTGGGGTTGCTCAAGGCAAGTTTCATTTTATCTTTGCTCGCTAAGTTAAAGGTGACCTATCATGCAAAATGCACTTTTGTACGCCTTTTATACATGAATATGTGTCCCCGGTGTTCCACTTCTATGACGTCACAGAAGTGGCGCTACGGCTATTGGGCCAACTCCACCAATCGGGAGGAGACAGCCACGGACATTGCCGTTCGAAAGCGCTCGAGACACTGTAGTACATATGCCAGGCCTGTAGATGGTGCTGTTCTCACAGAATCAGCCCAAGACAGTGTTAAATTGAGCGAAATGAGGAATGGCTAAAATGCATGATCTGTTTGGTATTTTGAAAAATAAAAAGTATAAATATGCCTTTTATATAGGTATGGTCCAACACTATATTATTCAAATATAGCATGATAGGTCCACTTTAATTGGAAAAACAAACGTTTAGTCTCTAAAAGGAGAAGACCCAACTTTTGTTGTGTCCAGCGACTGGTAAAGTCCCCTGATGTTTCGATGGCGATGGCTAAAATTAAGAATTGTATGATGTTCAGTCATTACTCAGTTCAACAACTTTGCCTTCAATTATTATTATTATTAGACATACCTGCAATTAGTTTGGAGTAATGACCCATGTTTAGATACAAGTTATAGCCAAATAAATGCCTGTTCAAAAATTACGTCTGTTTTCTGTTGTGCTAATTCTAGGTTACCTCAAGGGGGATGATACACTGAGGCTTCTCCACAGCCACAGTGACGCATGTTTGACTATTCCATCCACTGAGCAGGGAGAGGAGCTGCAAAGGTCAGATGAAACGACCAGTGGTCTGTAATGTCAGCTAAGCAAAGCATCCTCTACCTCTGTGGTCATGTCTTTTTTTTTTTCTTCTTAATTTAGGATAATGCATTATGAGATCGGATCAGTCTCCAGCCATGCCCGCTCTCTCTGGAGGCTGGAGATACTGCGTGTTGTGTAAGTATACGCAGGAAGTAATATTCAGCCACACACATTTTTTTTGTTTTCTTAAACATGTTGAAATCACCATCCCGTTTTGAAAATGTTTTTACAGTCTCATTTACAGATCAAAAAAGGTACAGAAGTTGTTTGTTGTTTAGACCATATGGGAGTATAATGTTGCACACACTGCTGCCGGTCACTGCCAGAGCTGGGCCCAGAATCTCTTTCTGTTTCTGCTGTTTGTCGCCCACAAAGGCTGGAAGCATATTTTATATCACTTGCCCAGAATGGAATTAAGGCTGTGTGTCCGCTGCTTGCTCCCAAAGAAGGAAAACTAAATGATTTGGACTGCTCACGTTCCTTCAAAGCAAAACAAGCCCAACTTAAAACTAGGGATGTACTGAATTGTTTGAAGATTTAAAACTTAATTCATAATGTTTACAATCCAATTCCAAATCCATCTTTTCTTGCTGCGCAGTTTTTATTTACATTTGTTCTGTTTAAACATGGTATTTCTGCACAGTTCTACGGAGGCTACACTAATATAATTATATCTTTGTGGAATTACATTTGAATTTAGATTTGTTTGTTCACAGATTGACCCACGGTAATGGCCAGGCAGATGACAGACTCATTACATCTCACAAAACAATCTGTGTAATAGTCAGCCTTCCACCTTCTATTCCCCCCTCTCTCTCTCACACACACACACACACACACACACACACACACACACACACACACACACACACACACACACACACACACACACACACACACACACACACACACACACACACCAGGGCTCGACATTAAGGACTGCCCGATGGCCATGAAGCCTCACCTGCTGGTTGCCCGATCGGGCAATCTATTATACCAGTATCATGCAGCTCGCGGATCCAGTAATGAGTGACCCGACAGTAAACTAAACATATCTATAACTAGTTTAGGAGTTTGAGAGGTATTAAAATAGCTACGTGTGATAATTCTAACCTGAAGTGTGTGTTTTGTCCGCTCACCGCTGCATGTGATCATGCAGAGCTGCGTGTCGACTCGTCAGCAGCAGCTGATCTCTCTCTCCCGTCAGATTAGACTTCACTCGCGTTTATGTCCATATCGATCAGATCCAGCTAGTTTTAGCTAATGATATGACTACCGCAGGAAAATT